GCCGGCCCGTGGCTCACTTGGGAGAGTGTGGTGCTGATAACACCAAGGCCACGGGTTTGGGTCCCATATAGGGATGTCCGGTTAGCTCACTGGCTGAGCGTGATGCTGACAACACCAAGCCAAGGGGTAAAATCCCCTTACCGGTCATCTTTTAAAAAAAAAAAAAAAAAAAAAAAGTACATAATACAACATTTTAAAATAAGTTAACTTAAAGTTTAGGACTGCCCCTAGCACAATGTAGTTACTCAATAAATGCCTGCTTAACTAAATTAAACCCCTTAAAATATGTTAGATAATTTGGGGGGCTTGCTAATTTCTTTTTATTTTATTTTATTTTATTTTTTTGTCTTTTTCCGTGTCCGGCAACGGATTGCAACCCTCAGTGTTGCCCCCATACCGGACCGAGACCGGCAACGGGATTGCAACCCTCGGTGTTGCTCCCGCGCCTCGCTCAGCCAGTGAGCGGGAACCGGTCTGTATGTGGGATCCCAAAAGGAGAAAATAAAAAAAATAAAAAAATAAATGTACATTTATATTTGTATTTTTTTTTTTTTTAAAGATGACTGGTAAGGGGATCTTAACCCTTGACTTGGTGTTGTCAGCACCACGCTCTCCCAAGTGAGCAACTAGTCATCCCTATATGGGATTCGAACCCGTGGCCTTGGTGTTATCAGCACCGCACTCTCCCGAGTGAGCCACGGGCCGGCCCTATATTTGTATTTTATGTGTATTGTAAATGAATTAAAAAACCCCCATGAAACTAACAGTGGTTGCCAATGAGGAGACTTATGAGAGTTTATTTTTTAAATTTTCTATTATATATACTTTTATTCTTAACCTTTTAAAATGGCAAACAAAAAATGACATATAGTATGAGTATAAACTGATATAATCTTTCCAGAAAGCAATTTGCTAATGCAGATCAAAAACCTTAAAAATGTTCATACTCGTGAAATAGTAATGCTCTATCTAGGAATCTACAATAGATAAAGCCAAATATTTATGTACAAGGATTTTCACTGTAGGTTAATTTATGATAATAAAAAACTATAAACAGCTGATTATAAATTATTTAAAGGACTGCTTAAATCTCAGTAAGGTCATAAAGTGGAATACAATGCAGTTATGAAAAATGATATTGTGGAGGATTATTTAACATGGGAAAATGGTCATAATAAAAGTATGTCTTGATGCCAGATTTTTATAAGGTACACCACCTATTTTGTTAAAAAATATACATATGCTAAGAAAAAACTTTATATGTTAGTAAATCAGAATACTCCCTAAATATTTTAAAGCTCCCCCTCTTTTTTTTCCTGAAAGAACAGCTGCCATCAGCTCTGTTTTCACTACCCACTCCTTAAACCCTTTGCAATCTGGTATTTTCCTCATTACACTCCAGATATTACTGAAGGTTTTCAGTAATCTAATGATCTAATCAGTGAGTTTTTTCAGTTCTCATCTTCCAATTTTTCTGCACCATTTAACATTTTTGTAGAAACTATTTTATCTTTTTCCTTGGTCTTTCTTTTGCTGGACCATCTTCCTGCCAGGAGCTGTTTCCCTGCAGTAATCTTATCTGCTTCCTACGTCTCACACTGTTTCTTGCTTTAAATCAGTACATGGCCATAATTTTAATTGAGGAATGAGTGCGATATATTCTTTTAGATCCTTTTAAAGATGCGTATGTATTTTTTAACAATTTAAAAACAGTAATTTATGCTGGTCTCTTTCCACATAAATTATCAAAAATAGGAGACACAGAGATAAGTGACTCACCAATTGTATAAACAACTTCAACATCATCCATTTGGGAATCAGTAATGCTATTCTTGGCTTCACCTTTCATTTCCCCAAGGAGAAAACCTTCCTAAAAGGATAAAAATAAAAAGCAGTATATGGAATACACTGATAGAATTACTGTTCAGTCACTTAACTAACCAATACTTTCTGAGTATTTTACAATGTACATTACCAGCTGGAGGATACATGAAAGATCTGAGGTTCTTCCAGTTTACTTGGGAACATGAACAGTTAAATAAAAAATGAGTGGAAGAGATTGTAAATACCAGCGTGGTTTTAAAAAGGAGAAAGATTAACATGTCCTGACATAATTGGAGAAGACCCTGTGAAGATGAGAATACAGCTGACTTTAAAGGGCTGGGCATCATTTGTGTAGGCAGAGTATAGCACTTAGCACATTTGGAAGCATAAACGACTTAAAGACAAATGAACACACAATGTTTTGAGGAAAGAGTAGAGCAGTCTGCCTTGGAACAGAAGGCTCCTCCTATCTGTGAGTACTAAATCAAAGACAAATAGGATAGAGCCAATAACGGAACATTCTGAATGACTAGCCACGGAGTGTACATTTAAAAGCACGTGTTTCTGGGAGTCAGTGGAGCTTCTAAACTATGTAAATGACACAATGATCAGTGTTTTCAGATTAAAAATTGTGCAAAATATGAAAGATTAAAGATTTAGAATTCAATTTCAGAATCTGCTTTTTAATAGGGGTGCTGTGAGCCCAATTCTTTTAAAAATACAAGTATTTTGCCACAGCAGTGATGATTTCTTTGAATTTTGGAGAATGCAGTTATTTCTCTAGGTACATTTAAGACCCAATGTGCTTGACAGGCAATGCCTCTTTGTGATTAGTTAATATTGTTCCCCCCACTCCCTTTTCATTAAGGAGAAAGAGCAGGAATATTTCCACAGTGTGAGTCTTTACTGGAATCAAGGGAGAAAAATACAGAACGTACACTATTTCTTCATTTTGATACTCTCAAAGACAAACCATGAGAAAGAAAGGGGGGGGGGGGACACAATGCAAGGGCAACTATACCAAAACCACCCTTTTAAGGACTTTAGGAAAAAGGTCTCAGAAAGAGGGACCTTTCTAATACTAAGGTACTTTCCAAGGAATAATTCTTTAAGCTCCAGAGTACTTAAGGACCCGTTCTGTTTATATTTACACTAAAGACATTCCAAAATAATTTCTGCAGCTACACACACAGTTAAAATTGCCATATATTTGCTCCTTGCCAGGTATTAGCTTGTAAAGTTATTTTAAATTGTATACATAAAATATACTAATCCCAACCTTTATTAGGATTGTGCTAAAAAGCAATTTTGAATAAGACAAACCTTATATTTTAAAACGAAGGGCAAACATTTAGCAGCAATTACTAGGCATTGTTCAGTATGGTATTCTCTAAACTATATTAGCATAGTAGGGAGGTGTATTTTAGATGCTTGTAATTTCTTTCAGCAAGTTACTAAGCACTCACTACATAACACTCCCCACGCTCAAAGTTTTAGTGTTTATTTCATAAAAATAAGAGTTTTAGGGGCCGGCCCGTGGCTCACTCGGGAGAGTGCGGTGCTGATAACACCAAGGCCACGGGTTCGGATCCCATATAGGGATGGCCGGTTCGCTCACTGGCTGAGCGTGGTGCTGACAACACCAAGTCAAGGGTTAAGATCCCCTTACCGGTCATCTTTTAGAAAAAAAAAAAAAAAGTTTTAGAAAATAGGCACTGTATTTAAAAAAACTACTTAACTTCTTAGCTTCATCCAGAGGTTCTGAACCGAGGCAATAGAATAAACGTTTAAATGAGGGTATATTTAATGTTTGAATTTTAACTGTAAGTATCAGAAAAGGGACTAGCTGAGGCCTTACATTTTTAACAAATTTTATACCAATGCAAACTAAACTCAGGTATCTTATATACCAAATGAAGCTTTTTCACCCACCAAGATCTGCCAAAGAATAGCCACTGGATGCAGCATGTTTTTACTCCCTTACCATCCCACCATTTCGAAAAACATGCACAGGCACTGCTCTGCGTGAAAAAGCCCACAGTCGTCTTTGCAAGAGATGCTTATAGTCAGGATAAACGGAGTTAGCCGGCGACCTCCCTAGACGCAGCGGGATTGGACAGGACACTAAGCGAGGCTTCCATCCTTTCATGCCGAAGTTGGACCAGAAAAGGGGGCACCGATAAAAGGCGACTGGGGGCGTGTGGGACACTCGGGCCGGGTAAAGGAAATAAACAGAAGCTGGAAGACGGAGGGCTCATCCCGGGAAAGACTTTCGTGGGCAGGAGACACCTCAAGGACAGCTCAGGAGCGGAGAAGGCAGAACCGCGAGGGCAGAGGAGGCGCAACGGCGTCGGAGGAGCCGGCTGGCAGAAATCCGGGCAACGGCAGCGAGGAGAGGCCGGGCGCGGGGCCCTTCCGAGGGACGCCGGATCCCGCCCCGCCCCTCGGCTCACCATGTCCGAGTCCGTGTTGAGGTGCTGGAAGGAGAGCGCGCCGAGCACAAAGCCCGAGAGTACCGCCGACGTACTCTCGCCCTCCATCCTCTACCGCTGAGCGGCCGCCTCAGCCACAGCGATGAGCGAGGTGACGAAGCCCGGGGCCGGAACCTGACGAGGCGCAGCGGCGGGCCGGGGC